GGGGCGGGCAGAGTGCTCCTGGGGAGCAGCGGAGGGCTGATTGCCAGTGGCTTGCTGGCTCATGTTTTGAGGCCACTGGGTCAGGGGCAGTGACTGCTGGCTCTGGGCTGGCAGGCTTGGAGCTAGCACAGGCACTGTGGCCAGAGTCAACCCCTTTAAGGGCTCCAGCGATGGGGGGAGGGAGAGAAGTATTCTTGGTTAAAGCTGGAGTGGCCACCAGGTCACCTGGAAAGGCTGGAGGGCCCCCTATTTTGAAATAAGTGTCTACACAGCACTTATTTCGAAATAGCTATTTTGAACTTGGCATTATTCCTTGTAGAATGAGGTTTAGCAAACGGTTTGGCCAACAGTTTTGCAGAACCTAAAAAAGCTTCCTGTTTTTATTTTAATTCCAGTAGAAAAATAATTTTAAAGGACAGGAAAATGTTTCAGTAATTGCAACCCAAACACTGCAACACTGAACAAGCATGTGAGAACCAAAGTCACACTTATTAGCAGTGCCCCTTAATCAAAAGGGAACGTGAGTCAGTGTCCATTGGCCATTTACAAAGTAAACCAAACAGCATGAATAAGGGAAAGTGAATTAAATTGTTTATATTTTTCAGGTCTAATAATAATAAAGATGAGGGAACTTTTGGTTTTTGTCTTTCTTTTTAGAGCATGACTCTTAAATCTTCCCTCTTACTGAAAACTCTAATATAAAACACACATCACAAAAGAGTGAATTGGATTCTTATATGTAAGTTGTAGGAGTAGGCATTATAAATAAGATTATCTCAAAAACATTATAAATAAGATTCTCTCAAGCTTGCTTCTTGTTCTCTTATCACGCTGTTTGTTTATGTACCCGTGAAAGACACTGACATATACCATTCATTGTTTGTCCAGTATGAATAGTCCTTGTCAATCTGAACAATAGTTTGTGGCTTTCCTTCACCCTTAGAAAGAACAGTTTAAATAACGACCTGTCTTCCTCCACTGTGTGTTTAATTGTTTGGCTCTTTTCTCCCCTTGCATCTGTCTTCATAATGGTTCTGCCTGCCCTCTGTTATTCCAGCAATAAACAAGTATCTGAACTGTTTTGCTGTGTCATGTGACTAGAAGTCAAGATTAGAAAAATATCTCTGTACTCTAGCTGGCAACTTCTATTTTTATCCACAGCTGTTGGAGCTGATAGCAAAGTCTCAGCTAACATCTCTGAGTGGAATCGCCCAGAAAAACTTCATGAACATTTTGGAAAAAGTGGTGCAGAAAGGTAAAAGAAATGTAATAATTATGACTTGTGTCCACCACATCCAGTGTTGATAAGTGTGCAGGACTCTTGCAGGCAGTGTGAGAGCATGAAGAAAAAACTGGTTAATCTTCCTTTGTCCACTTTTACTGAGATGGCTGAGCCCCAGTTTCTACATGCAGGGCAATAACCATGCATGAAAGGATTGGGACGTGTGCTAGTGTAAAGGGACGAGGTGGTCAGTGTTCCTGGAGTGGGAGTTAGAAGCCCTGCAGAAAGGCCAAACATCTTTCCTCATCCCAGTCTCTGGTACAATTATTAGGGGACATCTCCAACAAATATTTCCTATCAGATACCTGTCATATCTAGACAGAGCAGTCCTGCTCTCCCCCGCCATTCCCCCACAGTTCCAGATTTGATACCTTTAGGCCTAAGATCATAGGGTATGTCTACACTACCACCCTAATTCGAACTAGTACGAGGAGTAACGGTAGTTCGTATTAGAGAGCCTAATCCGAACTACCTACTCCGTGCCGCGTGTAGCCGTGGGCACGGAGTCCGAACTACCGGGGCTTTAAAAATGGCGGCGCCCGGCAAGATGCAAATGAAGCCCGGGATATTTAAATCCAGGGCTTCATTTGCAACTTCGGTTGCCTACATTAACCACCTTAGTTTGAACTAGGGTGGTAGTGTAGACATACCCTTAGAGAGTAAATCTTACCAAGCCTCCAGAAGAGTAGATACTGAAAATGTATCTAAAAGTTATAATTCCTTTTTAAAAATGTTTTTCCCCTCTTCTCTTTGCCTCCAAAGTCCTTGAAGATCAGCAGAACATCAGGCTAATAAGGGAATTGCTGCAGACTCTCTACACGTCACTATGCACCCTGGTGCAAAGTGTTGGCAAGTCTGTTCTGGTTGGAAATATCAACATGTGGGTACACAGAATGGAGACTATTCTTCACTGGCAACAGCAACTGAACAGCATCCAAATCACAAGAGTAAGCAAGAATCCAGGCCCTCACTTAGAGGCAAATGATACATTGGCTCTTTCATGCAACCTTATCATGCAGCCGCAGCGCCTGCCTGCATAATTGGATCATAATGAGCATTCCTAGATTTCACACAGAGCCTGCTGGTGGGGAGAATTTGGATTGTTAACATTTGAATTCAGTTGAATTGGACAGGGGGATGCATTTTTTAATTATTATTTTTATTCTGACTTTCAAGTGGAAAATTAAACCAAGATGCAAAATGCTTTGCCAGGTGTTAGGTTTTCAACCAGAATGTCTGGTCAGAAAAGGGACCCTGGCGGATCCAGTCAGTATTGCTGATTTGGCCCGTTAAAGTTTGCTTGTTGCAGGATTGGCAGGCTCCCTGTATGGTTCCATGCAGCTCCGCAGAAGTGGCAACATGTCCTTCAGCTCTTAGGCAGAAGGATGGCCACAGGGGCTTTGTGGACCTCCACCCTGGGCCCCAGTTCTGCAGCTTCTGCTGGCCAGGAGCTGCAGCCAATGGGAGCAGCAGGAGTGGCGTCTGTGGGCAGAGACAGCATGCAGAGCCTCTGCACCTCTGCCTAGGAGCTGAAAGACATGTTGTTGCTTGCAGGGAGTCCCCTGAGATGAGCGCCTACCAGAACCTGCCCCCCAAAAAACTCTTCCCAACTCCTTGCCCCAGCCCTGAGTTCCCTTCCAAACCCAAACTCCGTTCTGGAGCCTGCATCCCACTTCCCCATCTGCATCCCAACCTCCTACTGCAGCTCAGAACCCCTGCCCAGACTCTGAACCTTCTCCCATGTCCCAACCCCCAGCCTGAAGCTGCCTGCCCCACCCACATTTCATCATGGAACCTGCGCCCCAACTTTTTACCCCAGCAGAGAACCCCCTCCTGCACTCCAAATTCATTGGCCCCAGACTGGCGCCCCTTCCTGCACCCCAAACCCCAGCCCGCTCCAGAGTCTGTACTTCCAGACAGAGCCCTTATCCCCTGCAACCCAATCCCATGCAGCAGCCTAGATTCCCCCCCCCCCCCCCACACACACACGCACACACCCTGAGCCCCTCATTTCTGGCCCAGTAGTGATCCTAAATTATCACCCATAGAGTTCAGAGTCAGCAGCCCACTGAGATGAATGGGATTGTTTCTTCCTGTTAGAGTTATTGTTTCAAGCTCCTTGCAGATGCTATTATCTGTTTATGGTGTTCTTTGTGATCAGAAGAACTATACAATTAACTACTTAATGTAAGATTAGCGCAGTTTTGCTGCAGAGGATGAGCTGTGCAGAATAGGCTGCTTCTGTGGAGTTGCTCTGTTATAGACCAGTAACTATGTAGCTCCCTGAAGGGTTGAAAAGTTGAATTGCCTGACACCATCCAGATATTGGAGAAAGGGTCATATGGTAAAAAGAGTCCCACACAATTTCCCTCAGCTGATCCGCAGTTTGTATTTTGTTTTAAACAGTTAACTGCACTGCCCGTTGCCAGTAGGGTAAAACAGACATCTCAATGCAAGGCAACTGAAGACTTGGCTCCGTTTTTAAAGACTCTGAATATTGTTCCAGTGTTGGAGTCCCAAGCCTGCAAACCTTTACTCACATGATTAAGGGTTGGCCACTAGTGTAGCAACTGGAGCCCACTTCCTCGTTCTTAGGTCTTGAGGGTTCTGGGGATTTTCTGTGAATTGAACAGTCTACATGTATCCCTGTATCCGTGTAGCTGCACAGGTGTGAAGCCCTAGTGAGACAGACAGAGCCACTGTCTGGAGCCCTCTGTGAGGGCCACTTGCACAGATGGTACCTTTCACTGTCTAGACCAGGGGTTTGCATTGGTGTAGCTAAACTTATTACTAGGCAGTGAAGACTAATTTATGCAAATCCATAATGTAGACAGAATCCTAGTAGTATCCCCTATAGGAAACTATTTTTTTTTTTTTTTTTTGTAATGCACTCTTAAATATTTTCTGGGTAGCATTGCCAGCAATGTTGTAAGAAACAATTCTAGGGAAATCTTGATGGGATCCATTACTAGTGAACATCTCTACTTGTTTAATACATGATTTTGTGACCTTATAAAGTAAAATATAGTTGTCTTAGCAGAACATGACATTTCCAAGGGATTTCAACTGATAGACTGGAGGTTTAACCTGGTAGGGAACAGTCTTGTCCCTCTAGTTATCTGAATGACCCACAGAAACAATAACGCACTGGTCCACTAGAGTAGACCTTCGGCACCATAAATCTCCCCTCCAGTGGTGAGGAGAGTAAACTGTGCGGTTAACTGTTGACAACCACAATTGTTGCTCTGCCACAGTGAATTCAGATACTCTTCTTGCTGGAAATAAGGGGTCAATAGCACCACAACCCATCATAGGATCTCCTAGGGAAACTTACTCAGCCCCTGGATGAGAAATTAGCCAGTGTCACTGCATCTTGTGTATATAAAATATTTAGCAAACAGCACATTGCTCCAGTTTAGAATTGCCTGATTTTCTCCTTATACTGAGTGTTTGCATTCTTTTTTTCAGCCTGCCTTTAAAGGAATGACCTTTACAGACCTGCCATTGTGTCTACAATTAAACATCATGCAGCGGCTAACTGATGGGAGAGATCTTGTCAGCCTTGGGCAAGTGGCCCCTGAACTGCATGTGCTCAGTGAGGACCGGCTGCTGTGGAAAAAGCTCTGCCAGTACCATTTCACGGACCGACAGGTAATGGGATGAAAGTTAAACCTCAGCCAATCTCCTGTTGCAGCCCACTGATGTTTGAACATGGAGAGATCTTCCTCATTTGACTGCTTCGTTGTTCTGAGTTTTATGCTATGAGTTTCTGTATGGCCTGACCTGAAAATGGCAATAAACATTGTCCCTGAGGGGAAGTTCTGATAGTGTACGAATGTCACAATACTGGTGCCTGAATAGGAAGCTGCAGTATCAATAATATGTCTACATGGCTGCTACCCCACATGGCCTAAGATGGCTACTTCTGTTTTTACCATATGAGCAGGGAGCTCTGTGTCTGTGCAGTTCCCAACAGTAACTGCTCACGCACAGAACCCATCACCGCAACTGACCCCATTGCTGATTCTCTCCATCAAGAGGTCAAGGACTAACTAGACCATTAGTGTGAAAATCCCTCCAATCTGAATTGTTTTACCATTGGTGAGAAGTTAACCCTGCTGCTATATTGCACGTTTTGAGGGTAAAGGTTTTCAGTCGCTAGGGCTGCCAGTCAGCTCCATTCATAAGCACTAAATACACACACATACCCAGCACCAAATCTTCAGCTGGTGTGAATTAGCATTGCTCCAGTGACTTCAACAGACCCACACAGCTTTACATCTGTGGAAGATCTGGTCCTGGATTCTGGGAAGATTTTTTTCCCCCGCCTCCTATTGACTATATTTTCCATGTTGTCATATATCCAGATTTGATCTCCACAACAAATAATGTCCTAAAAGTGAATGTCTCCCAAACTGGTATGGCAACTCCAGCTTTAAAGATATCTGTAGAAAAGAAATGCAATTTAATTCCTAAAATCACAACCTGGGATAAATTTTGTTATCCCAATAATCATTTTTAGAGTTTCTGAATCATGGTGATATGTGGTAGCATGAATCTGTTGGAGCCATTGCACAGCAATGTGCAGCAAGAAGGAATCTGTGTAAGAGATAAGAGGGGTCTCTAGTACCGCGATTGTGTAGCATGGTTAGAATAAGGAGATTGCTAATGTGGAGAAACTCAGAATAGATTCTCTTGCCGTTACAGGGCAATGTCTACACTACCAGGTTATTTCGAAATAATTCCCGAAATAACTATTTCAAAATAAGTTTATTCTTCTTCACAGGCAGGAGTTATTATTTAGAAATAACAAGCCTGTCATTTTGAAATCACAGGCTTGGTAGTGTGGATGCTCGCCTTGTTATTTTGAAAATATTTTCAAAATAACGCCCCGGGTAGACATGCCCCAGATGTGGAGATCAGCAAGAATGACTGCTAGCTACTGTGAGCAAAGGCAAGGTCTTGAGAAGTGACATTGCAAACAAAACTTAGCCCTTGTGTTCACTGAGTCCACTCTAACTCTGATTTTTTAGATTCGTAAACGGGTAATCTTATCTGAGAAGGGGTTGCTGGACTGGAAGAAGATGTACTTTAAACTTGTAAGATGTTATCCAAGGAAAGAGCAGTATGGAGACACACTGCAACTCTGCAGACATTGCCACATCCTCTCCTGGAAGGTACGGGTATCGCGTTGGTAAAATTGATTTAGGGCCTGATTTCTCAGAAGTGCTGAATGTCCACAGCTCTAATTTAAGTTAGAGAGAGCTGCAAGCAGGGTTCCCTCTAAGCTGCACACTTGTGCAGGCATGCAAAAAGATGTCCAATCTGCCTGCCTCCTACACAGAGCCGCATGGCGGGCGGCAGGTGGTTGCTCCAGTGGCTGGGACCAGAGGAGCCACGAGCTGCGTGGCAGGCAGCTGCTCCAGTGGCTGGGGCAGCAATGAGCCACGTGGCTGCTCCAGTGGTCAGGGCCAGAGGAGCCATGAGCCATATGGCTGGTGGCTGCTCTGGCAGCCAGAGCCACCATGTGGGAGCCCTGGCAGGAAAGCAGCAGGGCAGGTACTGGGGTCTGTACCAGTAGGAAGGCAGTGAGGTCAAGGGCAGCAGGGGCCTGGCACAGAAGGCAAAGGCACCAGCCATATGTGGTGACGGGAGGTATTGGGCGCAGGTAAATTCCAGGGTGGGTGGGGAGAGGGCGAGGTGCAGGGTTGGATACAGGTCTTTGGGCGATTTGAAGCATTTATTGAAACCTGAGGACAAATTCTGATTTACACTACACTGGTGTAAATTTGAAATAACTCCCTTGAACTCAGAGTTACTGTGGTCTGACACAAGTTTAGCCGAGGGCAAAATCAGCTCTCTGTCGCATAGAGATGATTGGGAGAATGAATCTGGATCCTTGTTACTCATCTCTCTTCAATTAATAATGCCCTAAAATCTAAAGCTCGGCCTTGACCTGTTTGTTGCCAAAGGAGAGTAGAATATTTATTAGAGATTCATAGAAGAGCAGGACTGGAAGGGATATGAAGAGCTCATTTAGTCCATCTCCCTGTGCTGAGGCAGGACAAAGTAAACCTAGACCATCCCTGACAGATGTTTGTCTGTCCTGGTCTTTAAAATCTCCAGTGACGGGGATTCCGCAGCTTCACTTCATAACGTATTCCAGAGCTTAGCTCTCCTTGTAGTTAGAAACCTTTTTTCTTCATATCTAACCTAAATCTCCATTGCTGTATATTAAGGGGATTACTTTTTGTCCTACCTTCAGTGGACATGGAGAACTGATCACAATCCTTAACATTTAAAGTCTGTCATCAGCCCTCTCCCACTCCCCCATCATCTTTTCTCAAGACTAAGCATGGCCATCATTTGGGGTTTTGCTTAACTTTTCTTCATAGGTTAGATTTCTCTTTCCAAACCTATTAGTAATTTTGTTGTTCTCATCTGGACTCTCTCCAGTTTGTCCACGTCTTTCTTAATGTGTGGCCCCCAGAAGTGGACACAGTACTGCCACCAGTACCAAATGGAACAATGACCTCCCATATCTTAAATCAGTGGTTTTCAAAGTTGGGTTGCAGGCCAACACGGGTAAGCCACCAGCAGGCCTGTGATGCTTTGTTTATCTAAGTGTTTAATAGGGATGTGTCGGGGGGCTCGCCCCTGTCTTGGGGTTGCCACCCCCATCTGGGGCCCAGATCGGCCCGTCTGGGCCTAGCCCTCGAAGTATAATGCCCCTCTCTTAGGGGGAATACGGCCCCCTGGCCTAGTTCCACAGTACAATGCCCCTCTCGTAGGGGAAATACGGCCTGCTGGCCTAGTCCCCAAATTACACTGCCCACCCTCGTAGGGGAAATACGGCACAATGGCCTAGTTCACAGTTCAGTGCCCCTGTGCTAGGGGAAATACGGCCTCCCGGCCTAGTCCACAGTTTGCAGGCCCAGAGGCCTAGTCCACAGTTCAGTGTCTGTTACTCCGGTCCCCACTTGCCAGGGTCTCGGGCAGCAGGAGTAGAGGGGCCCGGGCCCTCCCTCTCCACCGGGCCCCGACCCAGGGCCCTAATAGTGCCGGGGGGGTTCCCACCACTGGCTCGGCGGGGGCTCCTCCCCGCAACACCCCGAGCCCCCAGGGGCTTCTACAGCTCCCTGCCCTGGGTCGCTTCCTACCCCCGGCTCGCAGCCGGCCGCGGTCCCACCTGTCGGCGTCGGTCGCCGGGCTGTAGCGGCACTTCCCCTGGCAGCCTCCGAGTTGGCAGAGTCCAGTCCGGTGCTCGGGTCACAGGGGGTCGGTCGGTGGCTCCGGCGTTGGGGGCGAGCCCGGCTGAGGCCCGGCAGCAGCACGCTCAGCTCCCTTGGCGACTCCCTCTCTGGCCAGTGGTTGCTAGCTCCAGCTCGGGTCACAGTCTCCCCCTTCTGAGCAGGCCAGCAGCCTTTTATATCTTGGCTCCCCTCGGAGCATGCCCAGTAGGGCTGTGTGGGTGGGGCCCTCTCCGCCCCTGGCTCCAGGTGGTTTCCCTGGGCTTGAGTGCGGGGCGGGGCCGCCCCGTCACAGGATGCAAGCAACTAGTTGACTAGTCCCTCAACTAGTCACTTCCACACCCCCTTGCTGCCTCTATCAGATGTATTAAGAGCCTGCTGGCTCCCAGGGCCACAAGTGAACCCCGCTGCTTCCCTGCTTATTGATTAATCAACTAGTCGAAGGAAAATCCATCAACTTGTCAATTAGTTGATTAAACTAAATGTAACATCCCTACTATCTAGAGCTTCGTGGCTTCCATTGGCTGTGGTTTGCCATTTCCAGCCAAGGGGAGTTTCGTGAAGTGGTGTGGCCTGGGACCATGTGAAAGCTTAACCAGTTAAGGTTAACCATTGGTGCGGCTGGAGCAGGCCCTGCATGCGGGGTTCTCTTGCGCGCCACAGGCATCCCAGCCAAAACAGCCTCTGTCTGCAGCGGGCCCAGGTGCCCTGCAGGCAGGGGCTGCTCTGACCAGGCCAGTGCAGTTCCACCTGTGGTGGGGAACAGCTCCAGTCCAGCCATGGGCAGGGGGGCTGTGCCAGCTGTGTTTAACCAGGTAAATGAGATTTATATCCCTACCCATGACCCAACTTTGTAAACCAACATCTTAGATCACTCTGGTTAAAATACCCCAGAATATTAGCCGTTCTTGTGTCCACATCACATTGATGGCTCATATTCAATTTGTGATCCACCATCCCCTCCAGCAGAGGCAACACATGGGGGGAGAGCATGTGGAGTTAAGAGCCCCTCCCCCCATGGGCTTAACAGGGGGAGGCACTGAGGGGCTCAGTCTTTCTGCTGCACCTGCGCCCAGCATGCTCAGCCCCATCCCTGGCAGTCGGGGTTGGGTGGGGAGTACTGGGGATGGAACCAGCTGCTTCCCATGCCAACCATTCTGGGTCACTGCTCCGTGAAGTGCATCAGCTGTTTGAGAGAGCCCGGCTGGGGAAGCGGGCCACCTCACACCCTGGCCTGGCTACTAGGGACAGCGGCTGAGCGAGCCAGAACCTTCTCTCCTCCCCCCTCCCAGCATATTTCTGGCTTATTCAGCCCCTTTGTCCAGCAGCCAGGCACTGGGAAGGAGGGACTCGCTGCTACCTCCCTCATCAGGCTCTCTTAGGCAGCTGTGTTGCACAGAGCAGGGATCCAAAGTGGCCAGCTTGACCGCATGAGAAGTGGCTCCTTCCTGTTTCCCCCTGGGCCTGGCTGCCAGGGAGAGTGGCCAGATGTGCCCGGGGGAGGGTGGTGCAGTAGAAGTAGGATAGAGCGCCCTCCCCAAATAACATGGGCACACCTCCAGATCTTTTTCAGCAGTGCTACTGCCCTGACAGTTATTCCCCATTTTGTATTTGTGCCTGTGAGGTTTTTTTCTTCCTAACCATAGTACCCTATACTTGTAATTAGTGAATTTCATCGTGTTGATGTCAGACCAGTTCTCCAATTTATCAAGATGATTTTCAGTTTTACTCCAGTTCTTCAAAATGCTTGTTATTCCTCTCAGCATGCACCTCACCCGCAAATTTTATAAGTATACTCTTTCTGCTCATTATCCAAGTCATTACTGAAAATATTGAATAGTAGACCCAGAACAGACTCCTGTGGGACTCCACAAGATACATCCTCCCAGTCTGACACTGAATCATTGATAACTACCCTCTGAGTACAGATTTGCATCCATTTGTGCACCCACTTAATAGTACTCTCAGCTATGCACTCTAATCTCTCTGTTTGCAAATTGGATGTGCAGCATGTGGCTCATGGGGCATCATAAACCAATTGAAGCTGTGACACTTGTTCTGTGACCTCTCTTGAACTTGATGATTTTTTTTTAGGGTACTGATCATCCTTGCACAGCTAACAATCCAGAGAGCTGCTCCACTTCTCTTTCACCCCAAGACTTTATCAACTTGTTCAGATTCTGAACCCTGGCTCTTCACAGCATTTCATTCTTACAAGACATTTTATAGCACTCAGCTTGGACACTGGACTTGTAAATAGTGTAAATGTGATGTATGTTTGAAACTCCTGAGTCAAGCGAACAAGAGGATCTTAGAGACAAAAGGTGAAGTTGCTCGCTGACGTTTGATGTTTAAGAAATACATGGACTTCTAACAAGATTGGTGTGTACAGGCAATGTTGTAAAAAGTCACCTTTTTATTATAAGAGTACAAGATACAGGACAGACATTTATTTCTGTTTAGAAGTTAAAATGGAATTTGCCCCATGCCCATTTCAAAACTTTATATATATTTTCAATTTCTAATAAATGAAAAGAAAGCAGTTTCCAAATAGGACTGAAACTGCTCCATCTGGTTTTATTTACAATAGATATTTATAAATATGATGTTTCAGTGATAATATTTGTGGAAAAAAATCCCTGCAAGGAGTTTTAGTAACACTTGTATGTAGAAAGAATTGGGTGCATTCAGAAATATGCGTAACATCTAGGATTTGATCCTACTTAAAATGAAAATAACACACCATGCCATTTTCTACCTCGAACAAGTAGAGTACCTTTGAAACAATAATCCATTATGCAATGTGAACTATTATACTTTGTACAACAATTTAAAGGGAAATGATTATGACCGTAAGCCAACTTTTTATGTTAATGCTTACTTTTTAAATTTGTTTTCTTGCTGTACTCAGTGCTTGAATGCCCAGATGATGAGTACATTAGAAATACCTAAGATTTTACTCTATTCTCTTTTAATTTTGTGGTCTTATTAAAGGAAGCAAAAAAAGGATTTGCATTTAAGGAGGATTCATGATGTTGGAATCATAAGGTGCTAGATCTAACCTCTCAGTGTGAATTCATAATTCCACTGATTTCAGTGGAATTACTCTGAGTTTATACCTATCTGAGATCAGATCTGGTTCACTGGGTTTGACTCCTCTGTCCCATTGTAACTCCACTGAAATAAAGTCAAAACGGATGTAATTGAGAGGAGACTCAGTCCCATAGGACCAGGTTCCTGATAAATCTAAATAGGTAAAGCTCCACTGACATCAGTGGAGCTGTGCTAGTCTACATTCACTGAGGATCCAGCTCATAGTATTTATCTTACATACTATTTATTTGTAACTGCTGTAAGAAACAGGAAAAGTAGTGAGGAAAGCTAGAGACCTAGTGTAGTAAGGGTACACTCGGTCCTAAGGGTAAACAGGATTTCTAATCACTTATCACCTGACATCCCTGATCATTTCTATGTATCATAACACATCTCTCTGCTCATGCCAGATTAATTCTCACTGTACCTCTGTTAGCACTTACAAATCTTGGTCCCACTGAAATTAATGGCCAGACTTCTGTTGATTTCAGCATGACCTAGATCTGGCTCTCAATCTCCTTTTATTATGCATAACTCATGTATTTGGCAAACTTGATCTGGCTGATTCCAGTCCATGTGTAAAAGTTTGGAAAGACCACATAGGAAAAATCCTATAGCAGAGTTCAAATACAGCACTTTTCCAACACTGTACGCAGACTGCGTAAGCAAGGTGCCTAAGAAAGAAGCATTAGAAGGTTGTATGGTATGTACAAGAGTGTGAGGAAGAGAAATACTCAGGACAAATTAGGAAGAACTACTTGAGTTTAATTATTAAATATTCTGTTCCTTTTTTTTACAGTTTTTATAACTGATTAATAATTTTCTGCAACTGTTTATATATATATTTGCTACAGTATTGCATGTTTGCAAACTAAATCTTTTCCATGTTCTTGGAGTAATTGTTTGGGGGGGGTGGGGAAGTGAGAGAATCAGTGTTTGGGGCTGGAGATTGCAGCTCTGGTGACGAGACATCCAGGAGAATGTTTTGACGGTAACTGCCTTTTGTTGCTTTCCAAAGGCAGAAAGTTTGGTTCTTCCAGAAATCTCTTTCAGAGTCAGGGCAAGAGTCAGTCCCAGGAGAAATTGTTTTGCATCACGTGGAGAAGGGGATAGAATGGTTGTCTCCTGCCATCCACTCTCACCTAAAACACTGGTGAAAACAGTGAATTTTTATCTCGGGGTGTGGGAGAGGAAGGGATGTTCATGTGAGTGGAAGGTGACTCAGAGCTCCTTAACCTGGAGAAATGAAATTGTAGTCGTGGGTGTTAGTGTCATTAAGTAAGTGAGGCCAGTTTCTATTCTCATTCACACCCATGCTGCCTTGTTGATGTCAGTGAGGTTGTGTGGGACTGAAATTCTCTTGGCAAAAAAAGAGTGTTAAGGGCAGTAATCTGAAAGTGACTGAAGTGGTGATGTTGTTTGTGGAGATCCATATTATTCCTTTCTCCAGCAGTTAAAAGTACCCTTATAACTTGTGTCTTCTGGAGGTTGATTTTTTTTCACCTTCCTCCTTCAGTTGCCCCATCTACTTCCAGTGAACTACCCAAAATAGAAGTGATTTGGAAGGCCAAATTCAACATACTAGCAATTGATGTTTCAACCTGTAAAACACTTATTTTAGATTGTATTTATCGAAACAAGTTCCTCCTTGGTGTAACCAACATCAAGTGAATTTAAACTCCAGGACTGATTCTGGCCCACCATGTTTATCATTCCATACATAATAGACTGATGCAGTCTGAGCACAGGGTTCTTGAGTTAGGAATTCAAGATTTCTAGTCCTGGCTGTGCAATCATTTCTTTTTGTGATTTTGGGCAAAACTCTCTGCCTCCACTTCCAGTCTATAAGATGGGGATAATAACTTATTGAGGTGCCCCGCTATAAGGATCATTTAGCTATCGTTCTGATAAAGCAGTTGAAGTTAAAGAGCAGGTTCTGATCTGAAAGCACTACATGAGCCTTATGTGAAACTTTTGTCTACATGTTGATGCTTTCGGATTGTGTTGTTTGGGAGAAAATATTGTGTGGTTACCTCATGTTGTAGGCTCTCTGCAGCAGAGATCTACAGCATGAAATCAAATGTAATGCAAGCTATTAAGGAACATAACTTAAGTGAGTCTCCTAGAGAAATAAATAGAACTTGTCTCATAGTTACAGTGACGATATTTTCCGAACCAAAAATTGGGACACATGATCTGACAAACGATTTTTTTTTTCTAATTTATTAATTTATTTATATGAAAAGTCTTACAAAAGTATAAAAATTAAATCACAGTACTGTGAGTGAGCAGACTAGGAGTGAGGGGTCTTAGTGGATGCGCTGAGAGAGTGGGCTGGGCGTGCAGGATCTTGGAACGACGGTGAGTGGACTGAGGGTGTGGGGTGTTGACAGGAAGTGAGTGAACAGGCTGGGGGCGCGGGGTCTGGGCATGATGAGAAGGAGGGCCACTTACTTGCTTTTGTGTGGCTCCCAACACCATGCCCCAGGCATCGCCTCCCGCTGTTCCTATTGACCGGATTCTGAAGCAGTGGGAAAAATCTCTAGGAAGTTCGTCTCTGTGCGGCTATTCCCCCAGCCACTTCTTCTCCACAAGCCAGATCTGGCAGGCAATCTTGGGGCTCTCTCAGACACACACACACACACATGCACCACTGAAATATTTGCCAAAATGTTGGAATTTCTGGAACATTTTGATGGTTTATGGGGACAACAGGACTGAATATTTGAAATTGGGACTGGCTCGGAAAATCCGGGACTTATGGTCGGCTTACTCATAGTGTAATCTTACTGCTGTAGTGTTTCTGATATCCATCTCCCCATGAGTCTTTCCTAGGGTTTGTTTCCACTGCCGGGTGGATCGATGTTGTGGCAATCCATTCACCAGGGGTCAATTTAGCAAAGACCTGTTAAATCAACCATCAAACATACTCCACCGGAACAAGATGCACAAGCCAATGAGAGTTGTTGTGTTACTCACATAGTTTGAGCTGCCTAATCTGGTTGGCATTAGCCCAAAGTGTAGAACTTCTGCTAGTCCCAAAATGGTTGGTTACCATCAAATACTGTAGTGAGTCAAATAATACCTTTTTCAAAACCACTGTTTGCACCCAGATATCTTAGCCTGACCACTTACAAAGGCACCAGTCTTATTCAAGTAGCTTATTTGCAGTGCCCGTACGTCTGCATGACTTGGGCTGGTAGGATAATGAGTAAGAATGAGTCTGAGGCAGGAAGGTGCAAAGCAACTCAGGCATAAAAGGCACCTCTTTAACTTTGCCAGAATTACCCTGAAAATATTGTAGAGTTGAAAACAGGCTTTCTGTGTTTGGACATTTATATCATTGATGATCTTTCTAAACAGCATTTCATCTTGGTGAGTTAGTGGTATGGTTCCCATTAGGAATTCAACACTATGAAATTGTGCTCTGCCTTTGTCATCGTAAAAGCAAAGTAATCCCATTGACACCCATGGAATTGCTCTGAATTTACCAGTGCAGCAGAGCTGAATTCAGCTCAATACATATACAGGTTGGACCTTCCTGGTCCGGAACCCTTGGGCCCTGACTGGTGCCAGATGAGGAATTTTGCCAGACCAGGGGAGGTCATTTCTGGCCCCCCAAACGTGGCCTAGCTCGAGCCTGCCACTGGCCCCACTGGGCTTCTCGGCCCCACTGGACAGCCCATTTGTGGCATACCAGACTTCCCAGCCCTGCAGAGTAGCTCGCTGCTGGCAGTCCATTGCTCTGCTGGCCTCAGGGTTCTCAGCTGCCAGTCTTCCACAAGGACTCTCTGGTCACGGAACATCCATCCCAGAGCCAGGAGTCCCAGTTTAGAGAGGTTCAAACTGTGTTTTAACACCACTTCTTAGAGGGGTGAGGGCATGGGAAGGAAGAGAGGAGAATTTTGCACTTCAGTTTCCTGGAGAGGTTAGTATTTGAGTTTATTTTAATGGGGCGGTCACTTCAAGAGGCTAAACTTCTGTTGTATATAAGCTGAGCAATTTATGCTAACGATGGTTTGGTATTTTAATGTTTGATTATAAAATGTGTGCCCCTCATCTTATCTTGTTTTTTTTTTAATTGTGTTACAACTTGTGTTTTGTAAAATCACTAGGAAAACTTGCTATCAGATATGCTTCATATGTAAATGTTTAATTGCACCATACCACGTTCTGTCACAGGGAATATTGCTATCCTCCTTTTGAACTCCTTTGGTGACTATTGTTTGTGTTCCCATTTCTGTTTTGGCATTAATTACCCTTGCACAACCAACTCCTAGAACATATGCAGGTAGTAAATTAGCTTTTTCTGCCCAGCCAATTCTTTGGCCCTTAATAGCTACAACTGAAATAAACCAGTAACATTTTAAATACTGTAGAGTACCTAATAACTCTTGAATGACAAGTCATGCTTAATCCTTCTGATTGCTACAATAAACTGTCATGGACTTTTGAGAGCAAGGGGGCTCTTAGTAACCTGTTGCACAGCTTCTTTTCACAGAGCAGCACCTTGCTAAATAATAGCTTTAAATTAAAATGCTAGTCTTTTTTGCTGGCAAACACATACACCCTATGCATATGATAGGTAATCCATGTGTAATGGCTCTTATAAAGACCCCTTCTTCTGAGCTGACTGGTCCTCTCATTCCTTTGGGAAGCTCCTAAAAGAAACCTAATTTGAAATGTACTCAGTGCCTCTTGAGGACTCCCCACTCCCATTGACTTGGTTGGTAGTGGATGATGTTGTGGATCATTCAGCTCTCTGACGGTCTGGTCCGCAGGATAGTAAATCTTTTCTCTTCTGACAGTCTTTATTAATAGCTAAAAGTAACAGCGGTTCTAGCACACCATGTAGCAGCCACTGCACTTTCACCTGTGTGAACCCATCAATTTCTCTGAAGATAAAGTGTGGCTCTTTTTGGCCATCACTTGCTGCCTATAGTGCTGCTCCAGAGTTAACATTGTAATTAGAATTTGCAAATGTACTAATGTTTTAGAGGGCTAATCTACAGTAATAATGAATATTGGCTTATAGGTGGAAAGGAAGCTTGTTTTTCCTTTTTTAAACAAAGTGGTAATTAGATAAGGTATGAAGTGAAAAGCATACCTTGTGTATTAAGACTCATATTTAATACTCTTGTGTGATTAAAATCTTTCCATATAAATTATTTGCACACATTTTTTTCTTTGCATGTTCAACTCTGATTTTTACAGCGGTTTGGTACAAACAGTGATGTATTTTTGTAAAATGTCTTTGACACTGAATTGCAATAAATGTTCAGACAATGTGAACCTTGGTATTTAGTTGTTTGTTGCTTTCAAGAGTGTAGGCGTCTCACAAATGGAAATGGAAAGACTCACCTGCAAGTCTATCCAGAATTCGGATGCCGTGGCAACGGGTGCCGTAATAATACCCAAAATAGATAAATCCGCTATTTTGTTATAAATCAAAGGAAAGGTTAATGTGATTGTCTTCAGTAAGGGCCAACAAAAGGCCAGTGGTTAAATTGGATTTAAGCAATGCTTAAGTCTTGCAAAGGAGCGTATTTCACTTTACATGAGTTATGAATCATATGTATCCAGCAGCTTCCAAGTTACGTAGTTTCCACATCAGTGTTCCAAGTTGGGGGATTACATAAGCAATCTTCTGGCCCTGGAAACCTGAAGTCTTTTTATCAGACAGAACTCCAATTGAAATCCAAAGGACTTTAGCTGAAGTTGGGACTGCATAATCAGAACAAAGGAGTCTGATCAGATGATGGGGAATATACACAGGAATACTTTGGCCTGGCATGTTCAGTCTTCAGAAAGATGAGTAACTAAATGACCAGTGGGATCAGCATCATGGTCATTAGGACAGGAATATTATAGAGAAGAGGATGCTTGGCTGGGCTTCATAAAGTAAGAAAACTGACACGTGTGGAGGAGCACATTATTTGGACAGAGACATCCTTTAGGGGAGGAGCTATTAATGGAGATTCTCTATGTCATAGTAAATAGGTGATGATGGAAGATGATAAATAAAATATGGGTAAAATATAATGAGAAACAGTCAAATGAAAAAGAATCCCATTAAATTACATCATGTATAGCAGGTAGCGAAAAAGTGAAATTTTTAAAGTGCTTATATAGCAATGCTAGAGGTCTAAATAACATGAGTGCTTTATATTAAATTAGGATATTGATATAATAAGCACCACAGAAACTTGGAGGAATGAGGATAATCAATGGGGGTACGTCTACACTACAGCGCTAGTTCGAACTAACTTAGTTCGAATTAGTTAATTCGAACTAAGCTAGTTCGAACTAACGCATCTAGAACTAAAAACTAGTTCGAACTAGCGTTTTGCTAGTTCGAACTAGCAAGTCCACATTGAGTGGACTCTGAACAGGGCTTAAGGATGGCCGGAAGCAGTGCCGGCAGGGCATAAAAGGAGGACTTAGAGCATGGAGATACTGTCTCAGGCTAGCCGAGGGCTGCGCTTAAAGGGTCCCGACCCCCACCCCGGACACACAGTTCTAAGGGGTGCCCCGCTTGCAAAGAAGTTCTGGCTTGGAGTGCCCTGAGTGCCCACACTGGGCACATCACACCACTCGGCCATCAGCCCGGCTGCACTTGCCGCAGGCTGCCATCTGGGGAGAGGGAGTAATTGGGGGGCTGCAGGAGAGCTCCCACCCCCAGAAGCCCGCAGAGCCAGCCCAGTCCTCCCCATCGGGGGCTCGTACCCCATTCCTCCCTCACCTCCTTCCACTTACCCTTCCCTAGCCCCCCTTCTTATTGATGTACAAAATAAAGATAACGTTTCTTCCAACATTGACTCTGTCTTTATTGAAAAAAACTGGGGGAGACTGGGAAAAGGAGGTGGGAGAGGGGAAGAGAAAGGCTGGGAGAGGGGAGGGCAACTAACATGATCAGGGGTTGGGAACAGGTCCCAGATGAAGAGAGGCTACAGAGACTGGGACTGTTCAGCTTAGAAAAGAGGAGACGGAGGGGGGACAGGATAGAGGTCTCTAAAAGCAGGGGTTGGGTGGAGAGGGTGCATTCAGAAAAGTTCTTCATGAGTTCCCATAAAGAAGGACTAGAGGACACCAAAGGAAAGGAATGGGTAGCAGGCTTGAAACTAGTAAGAGAAAGTTGTTCTTGACAAAGCAAATAGTTAACCTGTGGAACTCCTTGCTGCAGGAGGCTGTGAAGGCTACAACTAGAACAGAGTTTAAAGGGAAGTGAGATCAAGTCATGGAGGTTGGGTCCATGGAGTCCTATTAGCCAGAGGGTAGGAGTGGTGTCCCTGCCCAAAGTTTGTGGAAGGCTGGAGAGGGATGGCACGAGACAAATGGCTTGGTCATTGTCTTCGGTCCATCCCCTCCAGGGTCCCTAGGGTTGGCCGCTGTCGGCAGACAGGCTACTGGGCTAGATGGACCTTTGGTCTGACCCAGGACGGCCATTGTAAGCTCAGGGCTCAGTGTCGGGGGTCTCAGTGGACCCCCTTGATTTTCATGCACACCTGGTCCTGGGTGGCCAGGCTGGCAGCTCTCCTGCCCACGCCGGCCACTTTCCTGTGCCTAGTGCGGAGATCGTGGACAAGGTCCACGATGTCCGCACTAGCCCAGGAAGGTGCCCGCCTCTTGCGGTCCAGGGCAAGCTCCCGGGAGCCGCCAGCCTGGTCCCGGCAAGAGGGAGTGGGCTGGGGGGCATCGGGTGGGTGGCTCTGTGCCGTGCCAGGTGCAGGGTCTGCTGGCTGGGTGCTGGCAGGCTTGCACCTGGCATGGGCACCATAGCCAGCCCGTGCCCCTTTAAGGGGTCCGGGGCCGGGAGGGGGGCATAGAGTTTCCCTGGTGTTGGCCAGAGTGGCCACCAGGGAAACCTGGGGAGGGCTAGCCTCCCACTAGTTCGAACTAAAGGGCTACACAGCCCTTAGTTCGAACTAGCTAGTTCGAACTAAGGGCTGTGTAGCCCTTTAGTTCGAACTAGGGGGAGGCTAAGGCTTCCCAGGTTTCCCTGGTGGCCACTCTGGCCAACACCAGGGAAACTCTATGCCCCCCTCCCGGCCCCGGACCCCTAAAGTACAGAACAGGTTGTGCTGATGGGGGAGTAACATATGTGAAAGTAAGCATGGAATCAAATGAAGCAAAAATCTTAAATGAACCAAACTGTCCCATAGAATCTAGCTGGATAGAAATTCCATGCTCTAATAATAAGAAAATAGCAGTAGGAATATATTATCAACCAGCTGACCAGAATAGTGATAGCGACTGTGAAATGCTCAGGGAGATTAGAGGCTATAAAGAATAAAAAGCTTATTAATAGTAAGGGATTTCAACTATCCCCATAGTGACCGAGTACACATCATGTCAGGATGGGAGGCAGATAAAAGTTTCCTGCAGGCCTGGCCAAATGGTTTGCAGGGCCCAATGCAGGATGCTGGGAGCAGGACCCCGCAGCAGCATGGGGCCCCAGCTCCAGCAGTGTTTTCTTTGTTAGCGAGGTGAAGTTTGCAGGTGGAGTGCACCTGGAGACTGGCAGGGGAAGTAGCCCCAGAGAAAGGGAACTACAGGGCGGGGGCTTGTTCTGCAGCCTTGTGAAGGGGGCAGCAGCATGGGAAGCTTTCCAGGTGGAAGTGCCAGATCAGAGCCATAGGGTGAGGTTGTGCCCTCCCCGCCGGCGGGCTGTGCCGCTTCCCAGCAGCTGGTAGGACTTAAACTACAGTAATTCCCTGCTGGACAAACACGGGTCCTACAGGCTGCTCTGCTCCCGCCAAGCTTCGCTGGCAGCTGGTCAGACCCCTCTAAAGTGACTTATGTGTGCAGCCAGCTCTGGGCTGGGGAATTCACCGTGACATCCTGCGAAGTGCATGGCCCTTGTTAGCGGCCCAGCCCTGTGTGCAGCGCAGGGCCCTGAAGACATGGGGCCCAAGGCAACTGCCTTGCTCGCCTTGCCCTAAGGCCAGGTCTAGTTTCCTGACACTATTTATGGCTGCTTCTTGGAGTGGCCAGTCCTGAAACCCACAAGAGAAAGGGCAATTTTTTATTTAGTCCTAAGTGGAGCACAGGATCTGCTCCCAAGAGGTGAATATAGCTGGACTGCTAGGTAACAGTCACCATAATAAAATTAAATTTAATATCCTTGTAGTGGGGAAAACACCACAGCAGCCTAACACTGAAGCATTTAATTTCAGAAAGGGGGACTACTCAAAAAATGAGGAAGTTTAGTTAATCAGAAATTAAAAGGTACAGTACAAAAAGAGAAATCCCTGCAAGCTGCATGGACACTTTTTAAAGACATCATAATAAAGGCTCAACTGAAGTACATACCCCCAAATTAAAAAAAACATAGCAAGAGAATCACAACAGGGTCACTGTAGCTAAATGACGAAGTCAAAGAAGCATCCTTTAAAAAGTGGAATGACTGCCAGATGAGGAGAGATTAATACAAATGAGGCCTTTCAGCTTGGAAAAGATGGGTAATATGGGAGGTCTATACAATCATGATAGGTGTGGAGAAGGTAAATAAGGAAATGTTATTTATTCCTTCTCATAACACAAGACCTAGGAAGGTCACCAAATGAAATTTTAAAAAATGTTTTAAAAAACAAAAGGAACTATTTTTCACATAATGCACAGTCAATCTGTGGAACTCCTTGCCAGAGGATGTTGTAAAGGCCTAGACTATAAAAGGATTCTAAAAAGAACTAGCTACATAATTTGCTAAAGTTCTTTGAGGGGGTCGACAAATATGTGGACAAGGGGATCCAATGGATATGGGGTACTTAGATTTCCAGAAAGCCTTTGACAAGGTCCCTCACCAAAGACTCTTAAGTAAAGTAAGTTGTCATGGGATAAGAGGGAAGGTCCTTTCATGGATTGATAACTGGTTAAAAGACAGGAAACAAAGGGTAGTAATAAATGGTACAGTTTCCTAATGGAGAGAGGTAACTAGTGGGGTCCTCCAAGGGACTGTCCTGGGACCCATCCTATTCAATTTATTTATAAATGATCTTGAGAAAGGGATAAACAGTGAGGTGGCAAAATTTGCAGATGATACCAAACTGCTCAAGATAGTTAAGATCACAGCAGACAGTGAAGAGTTTCAAAAAGATCTCACCAGACTAAGTGATTGGTCAACAAAATGACAAATGAAATTTAATGTTGATAAATGTAGAGTAATGCATGTTGGAAAAAATAATCCCAACTCTATTCAATATGATGGAGACTAATTTGGCTACAACAACTCAAAAGAGAGATCTTGGCGTCATTGTGGATAGTTCTCTAAAAACATCCACTCAGTGTGTAGC